GCCCCAGGGTACCCTAAGCCCTCAGTAAGGCTTCATTATGAAGGGGTTGGTGCGCTGCAGGAACAGCCACCATTGAACAAAATCAAAGCGTGTGAAGGAGATCATGCCACAGTTTTCCGCTGTCATTGCAGAGGGTGGGACCTTAGCATGCTGGCACATGGAAGCCAGGGTCCGGCAGAGATGGAGGTCCAAAATGTTTACAGCTTTTTGGGGGGAGGGGGTGATCGGCAGCACTCCACAGCCGACTTACCAGACCCGAATCCCTGAGCTCAGCTTCACTCGCTTGTGCCATTGGTGGTTTAGGGTTTAGGGCTCGTTGTTGTTGGTGCGTGTTATAATTTTGTTATAATTTTAATGCTATGGTTCCTTTGACAGCTGGGTAAGTAGATGTGTAGAATATCTGTACATGTGTTGGGCATCCTTTTGTGAGTAGAAACAAACAGAACCCTACCTCATGCGTGCAGGGTCACAGGGTCATAGGCCAGTCATAGGTGGTAATTCAGATGGTGCGTTAGCAACTCATAGCTCTTCGGGGTGAAAGGCTCCATCGTGTCCCAGATCCGAATTCTCCCGAAAGTTTCAGCTACCCTAAACCCTAAACCCTAAACCCTAAACCCTAAACCCTAAACCCTAAACCCTAAACCCTAAACCCTAAACCCTAAACCCCAAGCCCTTTCGCAAGTTGGCTGTGTGGCTGAGCGATCAAAGCAGCAGCGCGCGCTCCGACAAAAGCCGACGGGCTCTCCGCACGACTCGCGCTGCACAGAGATCATCATAGCAAATGACTATATCCCCCTTGGGAATTATTTTGTATTGTTTATATAAAACCCAAGAGGACATTAGAAGCAATATTTTTATTCAGGTTCTAAGGGGAGTCTAGAGAGATCATCATAGCAAATGAAAGCCTAATCCCAACCCTAAGCCCCAGGGCATTTTTTTGCACCCTAAACCCTAAACGGTTCATGGTACCATGTCTATGTACTTCTCTTGAACAGAAACCTTAAAGGGCCCAGAAAGTTGATGAAGCCCTACCGGGGCTCACCCGGACCCCTTGGATTTCAGATCTCCCTTTCGGTTTCAGGTAAGCTCCACTGGCCTCCACGCCCGAACCCCCCCTGTTTTGACCCTAAAACCGCTTTAGGGTTTAGGGTTTAGGGTTTAGGGTTTAGGGTTTAGGGTTTAGGGTTTAGGGTTTAGGGTTTAGGGTTTAGGGTTTAGCTACGTCCTCCCCCTAGCACCAAGGATGGCTCTGCTTGCCTTTCGAAGAGCCATCTCAGGATCCTAGATCATCCCAGAAGCCTAAGCCCGAAACCCCAACTCACCGGTAGAGAATCAAGTAGATGTTCTGGGGATTTTGGTGTACCTGATTCCCTCGTACCCTACCAAGAGCCTGTAAGTTCAGGCCGAAGCCCTAAACCCTTTCTCCTGGCATGTAACGCGCGCGCGCGCCGTTCCCAAGCTTACGACATAGGCCAAGCCACGCCCTTCATCCTGAGCTTGGCAGCTGCAATTGCAAGGCTTATAAGTCTTATGAGTTTGAGGATTCCGAGCTGAGACGACCTTCGAAAACTTCACAAGCCACCAAGATCTTGGTTTTCGGAAGAACCTCGGCTGCCCTCCACGACAGAAAACAGGCGACCCTACAACTCAGCCTAGTCCCCACCCAGACCCATGTCGAGCCCTACCCACTTAGTAGCTGAGTAAGCCCAGTAACCCAAGGCCCGAAGAACCTGCCCAAACCCCCTGCTGCGCCAGGTTTCGGGTTTCGGGTTTGGAGTTTAGGAACCCTGGAGACGCCATGGGCCAGAGCTCCGGCATCGCGGCGACTGCGGTGCTGGCCCGGCTACGGGGGCAGGACTGGAATTTCTAGGTTGCTAGGACCCGGAGTAGGCCCTTATTCCCCTTTCTAGGGTTTAGGTTCCCTTATAATTATAAACCCCTTTAAAACCAAAAGGGGCACCCTTTGCCCTAAACCCGTAGGAAGCCCCAGAACTTGAACCGTTGGAGTCCTTAAACCTGTTTGGAAAGTCAGCTCTCTCAATCAGAGTCCTGTTCGGGTTTCAGGGGGTTGCAATGGGCGGGGTACCCTTCTAAGGGAGTCCTAGAATAAGGGCTCTCGTGCTTTGGGGTCCATAGGCAGGGGTCCTCCCCATCTGGGAAAATGCCCTCAGAGGTCCCAGTGCTCTCCGGAATTCAGGATGTCAATTGACCTGCTTAGGGTTTTTCGATGTCTTTAGGGTTTAGTAAGGCCAAGAGGTCTCCAAGTCTAGCCCGAATAGCCCTGTAAATCGTACCTACTTTGGTCTTTTGGGAGCTGGGGACTCGGAAGTCCTGGCCTTGCAAACTGACTCTGGCACTGCTGCCCTTCGCCATCTTAGAGGAGGACGATGTTGGTACCATTCTTTGGGAGACTCACGAGATGCAGCAAAGAGAAGCACCGCGCCCGTATCACCTTCGCATTCGCGGCACAACAAGCTGCTTCATGACACGTCGCAGACGCTGTGCAGAAGCTACCCTAAACCCTAAACCCTAAAACCCTAAAACCCTAATTAAACCCTAAACCCTAAGCCAACCCTGTGTGCTGTGCCAGAGCCCTAAGGTCCCTTAAGCCCAAAGGCGCAGCCTAGCCCCAAAGAAGCCCAACACCCACAAGGAAGGCACCCCTAATGCAACCCCGTCAACCGAGGCTTAGGGTCTGGGGCTCGGATTTTGCTAGTTTAGGGTTAAGGGTTTAGGAATTCTCGGGCTGATGGGCTTGTAGGGTTTTTAAGGGGCTCTAGGATTTGTTTGCTTTCAGGGCCTAGGGCTTAGAGATCTTTTCGCAGTGCTAGTATGGACAAAGTTGCGGAGCCCTGAACTCTAAACCTCCAAAAGCTTAAAAGCCCTAAACCCTGCAAAGAGAAAAAAAAAACGATAGATTGTGTAAATGCCCTCAGATCCTAAACCCTAAACCCGAAATCTTACCTGAGTCTCCAAGATAGTCTCCTTATAAGAACGCCCCACAACACGGAGCCCTAATTTCGAAAGCCCCCAACCTTACATGCTCAAATGTAAGTCTAAACCTTAAAGCCCTTGACCCTAAACCACTTAGTTGGCTGCGTAGGGTTGCCAGAGGCCTTCACACCCAGCGTACCCCTTTTTCCAGTGAGAAGTTACTCATGCCGAGGTCCCTTATAGCGGGGGTGGGGTGTAGGGATCCGGCTTTGGGGGATCAGGGCTTGGGGGTTTGAGATGGGGCTGCCACTTTGGGGCATGTGGACGTTTTGTCGACTTTCTGCACGGGCCCCTAGAAGAGACCCCTGCATAACCCAGCACCTATGTTAGAAACATGGTTCATGCTGTTACTCTTATTGGTGAGTGTTTAGCTGGTTCCTTATAAATCTTGGTGAGTGAATCTGGGTGCCCTTCTGGGGATAGTATAAGAAAGTCCTACCTCGCAAACCCTAAACCCAAAACGTATGGTCAAGCCAATCGCTCTGTGTAGCCCTCCTTTTACATAGCGCTTAAACTGCACCGTTTAGGGTTTGGGTTGTTGGGGTCTTGGGGTTTGCTGTGTGGGGTTTGATGGTTTTATGTTCGTGTCTCAGGCTTGAAGGGTTTCATGTTTATGGTTGCTTGATGATGTAGGGCTCTATGGATGTAGGCGTTCAGGGGTTTGGTGTGTGGTTTTGTTTTGGTTTGGTGCGTTTGGGCTTCGCTAATTGGATTTGCTACATTGCTTAATTGAGGCTTAATGTGGCGGGGAGTTTGTGAATATGGTTCAGTCCTTTATTGTAGCGACTCGAGACATGAAGCGAAATCCTCGCTCCTCGCTCTCTCGAGTGTGCCCATGCCAATCGATACAACACCCCAAGTCCGGAAAACCACAGTCTGTGTCTGAGCTGAAAGGCCTCAGAAGCCTATTTCTGAGCCCTAAACCCTAAGCCCTCTTGGTTCAAGGATCCTGACTTTCTTAAAAAAACGTGCTGGCATGCTACAGTTGAGTCGACCTGCTGCGTTGGCTCCGAAACGCCGGCAGGAGACCGACGATGACTGCTGCACCGTGGCCGCTGGGTTGCATTAGGGGATTGGTGGGGTGGGGCGGGGATCCCAGAGTCAATGTCAATGTCGTTCGTACATTCCCACAACCCCCAAAATCCTGCTCTAAGCCCTAAGCCCCAAGCCCCAAGCCCCAAACCCAACCCCAAACCCCAAACCCGACCTAAACCCTAAGCCCCCTAAAGGTGGTGGAGGGGAGGCGAAGGGGGGAGGGGGTGGGGGGAGGGGCGCCTAGGACAAGCGCAGAGAAAAGCCCGAGCCGCTCAAGAACACGCGCGTCGTGACCCGCTTCGAGGTTCGGAGAGCATCTTCTCCCGAGCACTTTTTGTTTGGGGGGCGGGGGTTCGGGGCCGGGGGTCTAGGGACTTTAGGGGTTTGGGTTAGGGCGTGCAGAATTTAAGGTGTATGGCTCAGGGCCCGAGACCTAACTTTGCCATCGCAGGGGAATGAAGGGCCATGCATCAAGTTTCCCGGGTTGAGGGATTGCAGTGTTTAGGGACGAGGCTTTTGTAAAGTCAGGGTTGAAGGCTGAGGGTTTCGGATTTCGGATGCCTCCCCGTCGGAGGGATTCCGAACACTTGTGCAAGGTTTCGGTATGCCGAAATCCTCAACCTAGGGAACATCCTACCCGTGGGAGTCGAAAGGCAGTGCTACAGCATCCCCACAAGAACACCACACGTATGATCCGGGCTCCTGGGCCCTTACCCGCCCCCCCCCTCCGCCGGTACCTTGTCAGGTTCGCCATCCTCGTAACTGTCGCCACTTGTGGAGCCTCGTTCCAACAGTGCCGACAGTTACGAGGATTGGCCACCCCCTAACCCATAAACCAACCCTATGCCCCAAACCTCTAAGTTGCCGACCAGGGATCATCGATACACTCGCCCAGATTGCATATGGAACCCTATAATCTTCCCTCACCAACAGCAGGGGTATGCACCCCGCTTCAAATGCCTCATCTAAAGGGCAGCGATGGCGTGGAGTCCGTCTTCGAGATGACCTTCGTTGTGGCAGCTTGGCACCAACCCTAAACCCCCAAAGTCTTTGCTGGGTTGGCTTGCAGGTTCATTGGTAGCTTGAGAATTTGCGGGTTCAGTATTAAGCAAGGTTATGAGTACCTCAAGGCTCCTTAGTTGTGTACCCACACTTACCCCACTGTCTAACTCTCCATGAACCGAAACCTAGACCCTACTAAACCCTAAACCGTAAACCCACGAAGCCCCAAGCCCCTCACTTCCCCCAGATCATCGGTGCAAGACGTAGAGCAGAGAGGGGGAAGCCGTGGGGTTTAGAGTTTTCGGTTCAGGGTTTATGGTTTTAGGGTTTAGGGCTACTTACTAAGCCAACAGATGAGTTCAGCCTTTTGGGGCGTCCCCATACTAAAGTTCAGACTTTAGCTTCCCTGGTTGTCGGAGCGGGACCCCTAACGCCCTAACTCCAAAAGCTGAACCTCAGAATCGAGGCGCTACCCCCTGAGCTGGAGGCTTAAAAACACCATGCCGAGCATCCTGCCCTGCTGTCGTAGCATAGCACCCGCAGCTAGAAGCGAGGGTCCAAATCGCACCGGGAATGGTCAAAGTTTAGACTTCTCCTCCATGGGCTGCACGCCACCAAGCCAGGCAGAAGGCGCAACGGCCACGTGGTGCGCGGCCCAGTCTCTTCTCTCTTTTTGCTGTTTAGGGTTTAGGGTTTAGGGTGTAGGGTGTAGGGTTTAGGGTTTAGGGTTTAGGGTTTAGGGCCAGATGAACCTGAAGAGGGCGATCTAGGCTCATACCTTCAGGCGGGTCATAGTAGCACAGGGTAGATGATGCCGATTTCAGGGTTCATGTGGTCTCCCAGGTTCAAGTCAGCTCTACGAATGGGGTCCCATACAACCCCCACCCATACACGAGTGTTGACTGTTCACGGGTCCCATTTCTTCCCGGCCTTTGCTAAGGGTACCGGGTTTTTATCCCACAGGTGTAAAGAGTGTACCGTGTCTATAGGGTTTATGCGTTAGAAGAGATAAATTGCCTAAAGGGTAGAACATGTTTAAAAAGGGCCAGAAAGGTTAAAAGGATCAACAGGTGTTATGGAGTTTACAGGGCATGTAATGCTTGGGTGGTCCTCTACGACCCCCACCTTCAGCACCACATACTCTGCCCGTGTCTCTGTTTACCAGTCTTCAAGCACCTTTTTGTTCAAACCCTAAACACTGAACCCCCTCGGGTGTTGAAGATGAGAACAAGTAGAGGGCTCTAGGTAATCCGGATGCCTTTCTGAACTCCCTCCGAAAAGCCCGTTGCGAAACATCCACCCCAAAACCCCAAACTAAGCCCTGAATCTTCAACTGGAACCCTCAACCCGAACTCCCTAGACCCCTGAACCCGCAGCCCAAAAAAACCTAAACGCACAGAGTCTCCCCGGTGACGAGGCTGCTGCAGGAGCTCCAGGCCAAGTTGGCGGAGGAGCGCCCAGAGGCTGGGTCGGGGAGGGGGGGGGGGGGGGGGGGGGCGGTTGGGCCCCTTGAGCCCCTACTGCGTGATATTAAGCGCAACTTAGGGTTTAGGTCTTTTTCGGGGCACGTGAAGCAAGACACACAACGAGGAATGAGCCTCTGGGCTCGAGAGCGCAAGAAAGTTCACAGAAATCACTTGCACACGAAGGAAGGATCGGTTGAACCTTAAGCTCAGCTCCCTTGCAATCCCAGGAGAATGCTGATCAAACCCAGTGCCATTGCATCAAACCCAGTGCCATTGCACCAGCGCAACTGTCGAAGCACGCGATTGCCAGAGCTCAAGATCAGGCCAAGGCATCCTGCAAGTGCTCTGGAAAGGAAACCCGCTTCACCATCAACCTTCTCGACAGTCACTGCTCATTCACTCGGTATTAAGGATGCCAGGATCACATACGGCGTAGTGCTCAGTTACAGGAGGGTTGCGGGACACCTGGACCCTAAACTGCGCCAACAAATCGGTGACCCCGGCTCTGAAGCCGGTCAGCTCATCCCCCTAACAGCTTCCGCAATGCACCCCCCTAGCTATGGCCCTGCTTCTTTCCAAACTTACGGGGTTTGTACAAGCCAACTCCCAAATCTCGAAAGCGCTTAAACCGCGAACGAACCCGAACAGACCTCAAAAACCCCTGGACCCCTAGACCCTCAACCCCCTCAACCCTCAGCAACTAACCCCTGAGGCCCCCCAAACCCACAAACCCTAAACCCTAAACCCCTGAAACTCTACGCCGCGAGGCACCACGCGTGATCGGGCTCAAGGCCTGTGATTGTGAGGGCCGTTTTTCCGTTTTTTTTCGGAGTTTGCGCCTGAGGGTATTTTGGGGTTTAGGGTTTAGGGTTTAGGGTTTAGGGTTTAGGGTCTACAGAGGTCTTCTTCTTAAAGCTAGCTTTGGGGTTCTGCGTTCCTTGATAAGGCCTATTCAGAAGCAGTCATCAACGACCCCTTTTCATAACCTGGGACCTGGGTGGGACAGGCTTTGTTTCTGGGCTGACGGACACTTTGACTTGTGGCCAGTTGGGAGGATTGAGCTGCTCTTCGCAGGGCTGTTCGGGTCTAGCGCTCGTGGTGCGACATTTTGGCTCGCTGCTTGAACTGCAAAAGGGTTATAGCTGGGCGGGGCACCCGAACCCCCGAACCTACCCTTATACTAACAGTCCTTAGTAGGGAGTATACTTGAGGTACTATCATCCCTATAAAGGACTGGTGGTACAAGGGGGGAACATCCCAACCTCTGGGGGGCTTGAGAGGGTTCAGAGATCGGCTTGCTCGTGGTGGCGGTATCAAAGACCATCCCTCCTATGCCTGCCCCCGCAAACCCTCAATCCGAATTTATCCCTGAACCCTAAACCCCAAGAGTTTAGGGTTTAGGGTTTAGGGGTTTAGGGTTTAGGGTTTAGGGTTTAGGGTTTAGGGTTTAGGAACCCTAGCACAGCAAGCGAGCGAGGTTCTCAGAACTGCCCAGCACGAGGCCACCACGATGGGGGGGAGGGGGGTGGCGGTGAGACTTCCTTCAGGGGCTAGTTCTCAATCCTCCTCACTCCGGACTTCGGAATCCCCACCCGAAGGAGGCTTAGGGACGCTTTTCTTCTTGAAGGGTTCTGAAGTGTGGGCTCCTTGGGATTTATAGTAAGGTGTACATGGGGTGTATTCAGGTTCCGTAATCAAGGGGCACATATTAGGAGACCATGTCACTACCCTAAGATCAAAGCCCAGGAAACTTCCCTGTAATACCTCAACGATCCGAGCATGACTAAGGACTTCTTGGAGGTTCTGGGGCGAATCCCCTCCACAAATTCGCATGAACCCCAAAAGCCAAAACCCAGCTTGCTTTCCGTCATTTTGTTTCCTCTCCTCCCTAAGCCTTAAACCCTACACCCTAAACCCCTAGACCCTTAAACTCTGAACCCTAAAGCCTAAACCCTAGACCCTAAACCCAAGAACCCTAAACCCAAGAACCCTAAACCCCAAACCCCAAACCCCAAACCCTAAACCCTAAACCCCAAACCCTAAACCCTAAACCCTAAACCCAAAACCCAAGCTGCCTGAGCTGCCAAAGCTCCCGGTCGACGGAGGCGCAGGCGCTGAACCCGTCCGCGGTCGCTGCGGCCGCAGCGAGCTCAGAGTCCCTCCTCGGGCTCTGCATGTACTTCTGATTTAGGGTTTAGGGTTTAGGGGTTAGGGTTTAGGGTTTAGGCTTTAGGTTTAGGGTTTAGGGTTTAGGGTTTAGGGTTTAGGGTTTAGGGTTTAGGGTTTAGGGTTTAGGGTTTAGGGTTTAGGTTTAGGGTTTAGGGTTTAGGGGGTTTAGGGTATAGGGCAGAGGGTTAGAGGGTATATGGTCACCCCACCCCCCCCCGCCCTTCTGTGGTGTGGTTGTGGGTCTGGTTTTCGGCCTGTTGGTTTTGGGTTTTTGGGGCTTGGGGTTGAGGGCTTAGCGTTTCAGGGCTTGGGGTTTGAGGGTTTAGGGTGTTAGGGTGTCAGGCATCGTCCCACATGCATTCTTTCTGGTGAGGGCAGGCCTCACCTCGGCCCTGTCCACGGCCGTGCTGGAAGGCAAAGCCCGCGCTTTGGACTTGCAGTTGGCCAGCCGTGTGGCGGCGGGGGCACTGCGGGAGACGCCTTAGTCAGTGCCCTGACTACAACGTTTCTGATGCAGACCAAGAAAGCCCTTGCAAGGCCCGGGACCGCGCGACACATCGACGACCTTGAGGGTGTGTCCCAGGCCCTCCTGCGGCATCTCGTGAAGCACCTGCGCAAGAGCAAGCTGGGACACCTCGACCGAGAAGCCCCGAAAGCTGTCCCTGAAGCATCTGCATCGAGCCAAGCTACGCTCCGTGCCCGTGCTGCGCAAGGCATCTTGCCCGGCTTGAAGGCTTGAAGCCGGGTCGAAGAGCAAATACGCCACCCTCATGTTTCATGGACTTCAGGTCTCCAGCCCACGGCCCAAAACCTTGATCCGAAGATACAAAACCGTAAGCCCTATGACCCTTAAAACCCTAAACCCCTAGCCAAAAACCTTAAACGGTCAAGATGTATGAGCTAGATTTTGTTCATTGTTGGGTTTGCAATGGAGGGCCTTATCGCTTCAGCCTGTCTTGTTGAAGGCCCGAAGCTTCAAGCTGTGTTAGGCTTTAGGGCTTCTGGTTTTGGGCTCAAGGTTCTAGGGTGTAGGATTGGGTTCTCGTGCTTATCGGTTATTCCAGTCTGGGCCAAGGAACTGATGGTTGATAAGAACAAAATCTGCCTGACCACAAATTGCCCGTTAAGCTATCATTCTCCATTAAGTCCTTGCAGGAACTGTAGGGGTTGTTAGGGCTGCATTAGGGTCAAAGTCTTGGGGCGTGGGATTTAGGGTTTTATGGCCTCAGGGTTTGGGCTTTTAAGTGGTTTAGGGGGAGTTAGGGGGGTTTAGGGGGGTTTAGGGGGGGTTTAGGGGGGTTTAGGGGGGTTTAGGAGGGCTTGAGAGCTTGACGGATGCCATGAACACATTTGAACTCTTAAAGGGTCCCAGAACAGTCAACGAAGGCTCCCAAAAACACTCCTTACCTCCCCATGAACCCTCTCGCTTATGGACCCTATAAGGTGAGGTTTAGCATTTAGGGTCCAAGGTTCGGCTGAGGGTTAGGGAGTTTGCGCCATAAGGTTTTTGGTTTAAGCTTCAGAGGGTGTCGGTTTAGGGTTTAGGGTTTCAGTTTGCCGGTCTCAGGCTGAGGGTTTCGGGTTTAGGAATTCGGGTTCAGGGTTCTGGGTTTGAACCTCCAACCCTAAGCCAAGCCCGAAACCCTCAACACCTAGCTGCATCTTAACTTCCTTATGTTTTTTAGGGGGTGTGGAGTTGAACCCCGAACCCTAACCCTAAACCCTAAACCCTAAACCCCTAATCCCCGAAACCCTGAAAGCCTTTCGTTCCTAGGCCTGCGGCGCGCTCTGCGCGGGCGAAGCACTGACGGCACGGCAGGCGCTGGCCCTGGAAGCCCCCCTCAGGATGTGTAGGGTTTCAGGGCTTAGGGTTTAGGATGTATGGGTTTTAAACCCTCAACCAAACTTAAAACCCCAAGACCCTAAACCCCAAGACCCCAAAGCCCCCCAAAGCCCCCCAAAGCCCCCAAAGCCCTTTAATCCTAAACCCTATAGCCCCACAACCCCAAAGCCCCAAGACCCCTAACTAACCCCTCCCCCCGAGGCGGCGAAAGTGGCCTCCGAGGGTGGCTGCTTGCCCCTGGGCTGCCCGAGGTAAGGAGGTTTGGGGGGGTTTAGGGGGGTTTGGGGGCTTTTAGGGGGTTTGTGTTTAGGCGGGGCTTAGGGGTTTTTAGGGATTTTGGGGGTTAGGGGGTGTAGGGGTTGAGGTTTAGGGGTTGGGGTTGAGGGTTTGATGTTTGGGGTGTAGGGCTTGATGCTTAGGATCTCGGGTTCAAGGCAGAGGTTAGTTCCGGGCATGTTCGTCATTGTATCCTGTAGGCCATAGCTTTCGTTAATGTAGGCAGAGAAGCGAATCTTAGAAGGCGACAAGGGCTGTACATTTGCCGTCGCGGTTTTTGTTAAAATCTCGTTCGTGTTACACAAACCGCACTGCACAAGGGCTCCTAGAGCGCGCGCAGAGCAAACATTTCACGAAGCCCCCCCCCCCCCCAGAAATGCGCGCATGAGCATGGGAGGGAGTGAGCGTTTGTGCGTGTATAGTTATCAGCCAGATGGAGCTCCTGCCAAATATGCAGCCAGTGAGGTAAGGAGTAGGGTTTTTTGCTTAGGGTTTAGGATAGGGGTTTGCTGGAGCCTTGGCCTGCTCGCGCAAGCATTGTCGGAGTGTCAGCATGTCGCCCTTTTGAAACCTCCTTTCGTAGGCTGCCAACGCCGTGCCCTCATCTCCAGACCCTTTTAAACCCAGAGCAGCCACCCCTCTCAATAGAACGATCAAAGGGCTTTCTTTAGCTTTGGGAAGGCCTTTGGTACATCTCCGATACCATGGCTGCATGGCCCTAAACCCTAAACCCTAAACCCTAAACCCTAAACCCTAAACCCTAAACCCTAAACCCTAAACCCTAAACCCTAAACCCTAAACCCTAAACCCTAAACCCTAACTTCAGGGTCATCATGCCCAGAAGCCTCCATGCAACGTCCAAGGCCCTTCGTGGCTGCGATGCTGCTGCAAGGAGGCCTTGTGCACTTCTTGCCCACCTAACAAACTTGGGTTTAGGGTTTGGGGTTTTGGGTTTGGGGTTTGGGGTTCGGGGTTTAGGGGCCCACACGCTTTCTTGTTTCGGAGGGTTAAAGCTGCCCCTGTAAACCATGGCAGAACCTATAGTCAATCCCGGGGCGCTTGAGCACATAACCCCGCCGGCCTATGACTAGTCGTTGGGGGCGGCAGATTCGGCTTCGGGCTTAGGGCTTATGGGGCAAGTGTTTAGGGATTTTAGTCTGAGGGTATGGATCCAAGAGCTTACGGGCAAGAACTGGAGAGAGAAGCTCGACCTCGAGGTGCAAAAGCCTCGTCTTTGGGGCCATAAAGCTCTCAAGGGCCTCTGGGCTTCAGAGTTTAGTTTTTTTACGTACTTCTGTGGAGCGTCATTGAACCTTTCTAGTGAGACACTGAGCTGTGCTGAACACAAATTGTCCCAAGACCCTGGAGCTTCATGCGTTTAGGTGCCACATGCGCGACACATTTCACAGAGTCGTGCATAGTCCACAGTCCACAACCTTCCATTCTCTTGCTGGACGAGGTGCATGAGACAGATATGTGATATACACTTCTGGCACAAGGCTTCCTACAAAGAGCCTTAGACAGTCCGAGTGCTGATTTGCCACAGAGAATTCGGCATTAAGCTCACAAGTGCTACGGCATATCCCAGTCGGCTTGAACATGTCGAACTCTTACTGCCTTTCCAGATGAGCTGATTCTGGACTATGACATTCCACTCGAGGCCACACGTTTTTCAAGAGTTGCTTCTATAGTTGTGCGCTGATCGTCAGGACTTCTCTATGATTAGACACATCAAGCACGAGGGAGCGTCTTTTCTAAGCTATTACTGTGCGTTTTCGATTTGGCTGACGCACCCTTTCGCACGCGTGCCCCGCTAGCGGACATTGTAGGATGGAAAATGGCTAGGGCTTAGGCTGGGAAGTTGCTTTTTCGACCCCTGCTCCCTGGCTTGGGGGAATTGAGTGTTTGCGGTTTGGGGTGTGGTTTTGCGGTTTGGAGGAGCAGTCGGGGAGAGTCACTCGACAGGGTACACAGACTCGTAGGCCACTTGTTCCTCCACTACCCGCAGAGGCTCATCAGCACCTGCACCCAGGCCCCCAGTAGTATCCCTAACCCCTAAGCCCTAAACCCCAAACCCTAAACCCTAACTTACTTCTGTTATGGGGCTGGTTCCCCTGAGGAACCTGAAGAGGCAACAAGGGCAGCCTTTTGACTCTTAGCTGGCCGGGGGAGCCCAGATAAACACTGTGTGCGACATGGAAGCCCGCAGAACTTCCAAGAACCCTCATATTAGTCAAAGGAATGCTTGAGATGCTTCATTGCAGTCGGGGTACTTGGGGCGACCCTGCTAGACCGGTTGAGCCCTAAAGCCTCAAACATCCCGATGAGGGTCTTGGGGATGTTCGGGCAAGTCCCAGAGCGCAGGAAGCACTGGGAGACGGCGAGTGCTTTGAGGCCGTCTTCGAGGCGGGCGGGGGGTTAATTTTTGATCCGGAATGACCCTAAACCCTGAGTCATGAAGGAGGGGCTTCTTCAGGACCCTTTTAAGACTCTAAGAGCTTCTTAGGGATCAAGCGAATACATTTTGTGGGGCCATATGAAGAGTATGTTGAGCTGGACCCCAACCCTATGATTCATAGACGACTTCTTGTCTAAAGCCGACAAGCAGCCACAAACCCGGCAACTGACCTTAAACCCTACCAGCCCATGCGGCAGGGATCATGTTGCTTACGCAGCTTCACTTGGATCCCAGGGGTCTCCCCCTGAAAAGTCGGGGGGGGTGCATATTGCGCCCTCATTGGGCCTCCCATGAAAACGAGGGATGTTGGTCTGAGGATGCCTGGGGCACGAAGGGCACTAAGGGCTTCAGGACTTCAACTAGGACCCGGAGTAGGCCCTTACTCCCTCTTTTTAGGCTTTAGGTTCCCGTATCAATCCCTTCAAACCAAAAAGGGCACCCTTTTTTTCCTAGGTTACTCTTGGATCTAGTAGGTTTAGGGTCCTGCGATCACTGCCGTGCAGGTGCAGGGCGACTCTTCCTCCGCAGCCCGCGCAGCGCAGCAGGCTGCGCACCTTCGTGGCAGCATGTGGGCGCGCAAGTTTTGAATTCTTGTGTTCACAAGGCCCTCATTGCAGCCCCATGGCCTCAACCCTAGATTTGACATGCAGTTTAATTAGGCTTTTAGGGTTTCAGGGTGATTCACCTTAAGGGCATAAAGTGGGGCATATCCGATTCTGCAGGCTGTCGCTGTGACACTTCCGCGCCTTTTCAAGAAGTTGTTGCTTGCCTTGAGAAATGCTGTGGCGGCAGGCCCTGTCCCCCGCCAGCCGGGGCTTCGCGGAAGTGTCGCGCAACACCATCCAGGCCGCTGTGAGTTAGAAAGGCTAGCCAGAGGAAGTTGGGCTTTTCAGCTACGGTGTAGGATGTAGTCGCAGTCTGACTCTGTAGGGCTTAGGATGTGTCCATAAACCTCTTGATGTTAGTCCTTCACATGTAGCACTTGATAGCTTAGAGGTTGTTAAAATTGTAAGGATAAACTCACAAGCACAAGTTTCTAGCCAACCATCAAGTAAGGAGTCGGGATGGTTCCCGACTCGGTCTTCTTTGCTTAGTTTCCATGACCCGAGCCAGGGTGGCCCTGGTTACTCCTAGGTGGTTTTTTCTGGGTTTCTGATCCCGGAAGTCCCACAGCGCAGTACTTCTACCCCCCCGGAGCCTTGCGACCAGGACTTCGAGATCGTTCGCGTTGTCGGGGCAGATGCCTCAAAGGGTTCCAAGATTCGGTTGAACTTGCTGTCAGGGTGCTGGGGCGATGTGCACGTGGGTGTTGGGGCCCCGTTAGCCCTGGAAAGCTCCCAGTGAAACCCTGTTTCTTTGCCCAGTCCTGGTTAGGCTGTCGGGAGGTTTTGGGGGGTTTCCCGGAACTAGTTCAGCGGCTCAGCGTATCGCCGTCTGACTGGCGGCTTATGCTCGGGCTTCTTTCATGTCGGCAGGGCTTCGCGGATTCGGGCTCAGGTTTCCCCCCCCCCCCCCCCTTCCCGGTTCCAGGTCGGCGGATCCGGGCGCGTGTTGCAGGCGGGCTGCGGTGCTGATGGTGTTTTGTAGCCCCAACAACTTCCCAACTTCCTGACCCCGAGAGCCCAAGGCCCACATGGCCTAATGGCCTAAACTTCCTGTATCCCAGTACCTTCCATGCATTGCAGACCCTAAACTCAAAACCCTCTTCATGCCTTGCACATACAATGATATCCCCATTGGCGTTGCCTGGCTTGTGTGAGGGTTTAGTGTTACTTCTAGTGCCTCCTACGCCCCAAGCCATAAAGCATCTGCGCGCAACTTTGCTGGGCTTCTGGGATTGGAACGTTTAGTGTTTGGCTTTGCTTTGTTCTGGTAGATCCTTCCTCATTCAAGCAGCAAACCCTGAACCCTGAACCCACAACCCTAAAACCCTACACCTTAAACCCTAAACTTCCCTAAACCCTAAACCCTACACCTTAAAGCCCTTGAAAGCCTGAAACCCCCTTGAGCCAGGCACGGCACAAGCCCACAGGGCAGTACCGGGCCGTCAAGGTGATGAGCAAGGACGCCATCTTGGAGGGTTGAGCCATAACCCCCTTAGGGTGTAGGGTTTTAGGGTTTAGGGATTTAGGAGTGTTGGGGTTTAGGGGTTTAGGGGTTCAGGGGTTCAGGGGTCCAGAGGTTAGGGGTTCAGAGGTTTGGGGGATTAGGGGTTCCGGGGCGTTTCGGGGTTCGGGGCTTTTAGGGCTTAACCTGCTAAGCCCGAAGTTGCGAGCCTTCGATGCCCTGCATCCCAAAACGCCGATCGGTGTGGGAAGCTATACTCCGACATGAAAGGAAAAGTCGGGAAGTTAACCCTAAACCCTAAACAGCCCTAAACCCTAAACAACCCTAAACAACCCCAAAACAACCCTAAACAACCCTAAGCCCTAAACCCTAAACAACCCTAAACCCTAAACAACCCTAAACAACCCTAAGCCCTAAACCCCAAACCTCAAACCCCAAACCCTCAGCCGTTCTCAGGAGCGGCTCTTCCAGCAGGAGCAGCGGCTCCAGCGGGTCTGGGGCCCATCTTACTTCCAATTGAGGGGGTTTAGGGTTTAGGGTTTAGGGTTTAGGGTTTAGGGTTTAGGGTTCAGGGTTTAGGGTTTAGGGTTTAGGGTTTAGGGTTTAGGGTTTAGGGTTTAGGGTTCAGGGTTCAGGGTTCAGGGTTTGGGGTTTAGGGTTTAGGGTTTAGGGTTTAGGGTTTAGGGTTGGACTTCGCGGCTTAGTGTTTAGGGGAGAAGGGTTTTCCCAGCACCTCCGATTGACGGCTTTTGGCAAGTTCGCCAGAAGGCCCTAGACATTGCCCCCTAAACCCTACACCCTCATCCGTGATCCCCAGACCCTATAAACCAGAAACCCTAGAAAGGCATACAGGCGGCTTGTCCTCGCCCTACACAGAGAGCTCATAGCCGGCATGCCCTGTACTACCCCTGTTCCTTTTTGAAGGGTTTAGGGTTTAGGGTTTGGGGTTTAGGGTTTAGGGTTTACCTAATTTTCCTTTTTGAAGGGGTTTGGGGTATAGGTGTCCGAAGTGTTCCATTTGGTTGGGTTTAAGGAAGCGAGGTCCAGGTTGTCGATCATAGTCTTAAGCCCCCTACCTTCCTATTTGATTTCTGACAGTTCTAGGGGCCAATCCCTGTCTACCCTGATTAACCCGTAGACTTTTCATAGTTATCTCCAGCTGTTTTGCTGGGATGTTGCCCCGGCTCTTGGTAGTTGAAGGTACCTTACACGGGCTACCCCAAAGCTCCAAGACCTCAAGTAGGGCCTAGTTTGGGGGTACCCCTTTTGGCGGGAGGTTGCTGGACCCCTGTATGGTGTGCGGTGTTGCGGTACGGATGAAATGGCGCGGGAGGGTATTAATCCGCCCCAAAGAAATCTTCTTCGTTTCAAAGCCCCCCCAACTTGCAGGTCATCACTGAGAAGCGCATATTGGCGCGACTCCAGCCGCGACCCCCAGTGCTTTTGGTCTATGTTGGCCGAACGCAGGAGTCGTGACTAGGCGTGCTGGGATTCTATAGACTCTCTATAAACAATAAGCCCCTGAAAGTATCTCGCGCATCTGACGTTGGCGACCTTGTACACGACAGCTAGATTCGGCAGCGCAGCTTTCTGGTTTACATGCGATGTCTGTTGGTATACTTGTGGGACCATGCGATATGTTTCACCGTTTCCCTTATTGGATTCAAGAGGATGGTACTCCCAGGGCCTCTGGGGGCCTCCCCGCTCTGAACTCTAAACCCTCTCTAGCCACTGTTCCGTTTTTGTTTTAAGGGCTTTAGGCTTTCGGGTTTAGGGTTTTGGGTTTCTTAAACAGCAAACCTCCAACCCTAAACCCGAACCCAGACGGCCCGAACGGCCCCCTGATTGCTATTCACTGTTCGTGTCCGAGCTGAGGGAACCCTAAACCCAAACCCACAACTATAGACACCACTCTTCTAACACTGCACTGAAAAGTACCCATAAACCTCCAAGTAAGCCTAGTCCTAAAAGCGAACTGACTTCCTTCAGTTCCAGGAGCCCATGTCTGCCAGATGGAGACCCCAAGTACCCCCGAAAACCCCAGGAACCCCTTAAATTAAAGGCCCCTAGTCTCTCTTCGCGCGACAGCAAGTGTTGGGTTTTTGGGCTTGTCTGGGAGCAAGTTCTCACTCGGGTGACGAGTGAGGCAACTGTCGCTATAGCCTTGTTCGAGGTAGTGAAACCCTTGTATGTACCCGTGAGCCTTCAAGTATCACAAATCCCTGCAAGGCCCTGCTATGATAGGGTTTAGGGTTTAGGGTTTAGGGTTTAGGGTTTAGGGTTTAGGGTTTAGGGTTTAGGGTTTAGGGTTTAGGGTTTAGGGTTTAGGGTTTAGGGTTTAGGGTTTAGGGTTTAGGGTTTAGGGTTTAGGGTTTAGGGTTTAGGGTTTAGGGTTTAGGGTTTAGGGTTTAGGGTTTAGGGTTTAGGGTTTAGGGGCAGCAAAGCAGCACGTGTTTACGTCGGACATCCCCACCGTAAGCAGGCACACTTTCATGAGCAGTGTCGGGATCGTCGGGAGATCGGACACTCCAGGAACACTCGAAACCCCTAAACCCTAAACCCTAAACCCTAAACCCTAAACCCTAAACCCCTAAACCCTAAACCCTAAACCCTAAACCCTAAACCCTAAACCCTAAACCCTAAACCCTAAACCCTAAACCCTAAACCCTAAACCCTAAACCCTAAACCCAAACCCTAATACCTAACAGCGGGCACTCTTGGGAAGTCAGGGAACTCCGACTCAGGACACACAGGCCAAGAGAACAGCTGAACTCACAAACTAGCACTCCCACACGGAGTGACAGCACGAAGGCGGCTCTCTGGGGCCTCTCCATGCCTTGGGGGACGAAAGAAACCCCCCAAAATTTGGGGGCAGATCATATAAACCCTGTTGAGGGTTCATTTCGGCCTCTCAGCGGGTGGGGACTCTGCAGTCTGCCGGGATTCTCGCAGATTGGGCGCTCCATGGGAGGCTCAGGAGACACAGGAGACCTCTAGGCCAGGAGAATGAGCAGCAATCCCGCACGGAGGGACCTTGGGTGTGAAAGGTTTGGGGTGAAGGGTTTAGGGTTTAGGGTTTAGGGTTTAGGGTTTAGGGTTTAGGGTTTAGGGTTTCATGGATGTATGCATCAGGGGCAATCTCGGAGCTTGTTTGTTCAATCTCTAAAGCCCCCCCCCCCCAAATCCCGAAACCTTACGGCCCAAGCCCTGGTGCAAGGCATCCTTTCGTCGTCTCTCTCCACTGGGCTTTTCAAACCACTACGCACCTTTTCCTGGTGGAGCCGGCGCATGTTTCGGGGCAAAGGGGCTTGGACAAGAGCTTGAGGAAATGTTACATTTTCCCCTACGGAGTTTCAAGATCTTTTGCAGGAATTGTTTTCGGGGAAGAGTTTCCATCCTTTTTGCAACTTTCTATTGGTCGTTATGTCAATCAGGGTACATGGCTTGACAGAAACCGTTTTAGGGTTTAAGGGTTCAAGAGTTTAAGGGCTTTAGGGCTTAAGGGTTTAGGGACTAATCTGCACTGACCAGCCCCCAGATCTTAAGCCCCAAGCCTTAACACCCTGTAAAACCTAAACCTTGTACATCCTCAACCCTATAAACCCAATGCAATGCCTAAACCCTAAACCCTAAACCCTAAACCCTAAACCCTAAACCCTAAACCCTAAACCCTAAACCCTAAACCCTAAACCCTAAACCCTAAACCCTAAACCCTAAACCCTAAACCCTAAACCCTAAACCCTAAACCCTAAATCCTAAACCCTAAACCCTACCCTCTTGCAGGTCCTGGACTTCTGCGGTGGTGGTGAGCTGTTTTTCCACATGCTACAGCGAGGTCGCTTCGAGGCGACATGGGCACTTTGCAGTAGTTAGAGAGTTATTTTATGCAAATCTAGAGAGATTTGCAAGCCGAATTCCTTATGCTCTACCCTCAAATTTAGATAAACAGTTGGGTCTCGCAATAGATATGAAATTTATATGTGCATCTGTGAATTCATGTATCTGTATATGTATATACATATATATATATATGTATATATGGGTGTGTGTGTGTGTGTGTGTGTTGTAAATGTACATTTATACGGATTTAGCGAATATGCGTTTCAGGCCTTATAACCTTGGTTTTTAATGTCGGCTTTATGTACAAGCGTACGAGGGTGGGGGGGGGGGGGGCGAGGGGTCGTGTTCAGCCATTTCGTTCAGAGCTTCAAGGTTTGAGGGCTTCAGGCTGGTTGCGCATGTGGCGGTGACACATCCTAGGATGGTTTGGCTGCAGTGGATCCTGTGTTCCGAGCTGCTACACAGTCAAGGTTAGGAGTTGGGGCTCAGGGTCTAGGGTGTAAAGGGTTTTTAGATTTAGAGAGGGCTCGGGAAGATTCCAAGCTCCTGTTTGGCGTCGCTAGATGGTATAGCTGCCCACACCCTAAACCCTAAACCCTAAACCCTAAACCCTAAACCCTAAACCCTAAACCCTAAACCCTAAACCCTAAACCCTAAACCCAGGGAAGCTGAAGTCAGCCACCTGCGGAGGAGGCCGACGGCAAGTTCTACTTTTGTGAGATCTTGCTGGGACTGGAGTACTTGCACTCCCAACAGGCGCGGCGACTCCGCACAGAAGGTGGCATGAGAGTTTTCAGTGTTGGCTCCATGGAATATTTTTGGATTTTCCCTTTTCCTGGGCTTAAGAAAGATCATATGCAGGAAGAGCTCAGAGCTTTACAAGTGCCACCCTACACCCGCCCTTGACCCTGAGCCCCAAGATCCGCCACCCCTTGAACCTGGAACCACTCGTGCCCCAGACTTCTGGGTTTTCGTGTTTTTTTTGCACGTCGGGAAGCAGGTTGTCGAGAGATCTCTTTGAAGGTTTAGACCGTTTGCTCTCCGATTTCTGCTTGGTCTTGTGGTCCTTGCCATAAAGCTCTTTCGGGTCTTGTGTGTAAGGTGTCCCCCGTCCTCCCCCCATCCCCCCAAAAAAGCCTTCAAGACCCTGCCCGCACAGCACTAAAAGCCACAAGCCCCCTGCACTTGAGCTCTAAACTCCAGAACCCTCAACCCAAGCCTACAAATTTGTACAGACCCGTTAAAACAAGAAAGCCTTGAAGGCGTAATAGGGTAGACGAGGGTTTGTGATTTGTGGGACTTGCGGGTGATCCGGGCTTTGCAGGGTTGAGGGTTGACTGGGGTTCTGAATCGTTTAGGGTCTGCTCGGGCTTTGTCGGGTGTAGGCGGTTTAGGGTTGATTGCGTTTCCCTGCCCACGATTGGAGAGCATGAGCCAGGACGTAGTTATCAGAGTTGTTTCCACTTCGTTGAGAGAAGATATAAGGGACCGCAAGCAGTTGGGATAGGAATGCTAAACCCTAAACACTTGGGATAAGACTGAGGTTCTCTACCGTGATCTCAAGCCTGAGAACTGCTTGCTGGATGATGCTCCTTGCCCGCAGCATTAGAGAGCTCCGGAAGACCCACCCCACCCAAACCAGCAGTCCAGTTCCCTACAGATTGCTTAAGAACCCCCCAAAAAAAATAATACAAAAAAGAATGATTTTGCTTCGGGGTTGGGCACTCCAGGGAGACTCTGGGGTTGGGCACTCCAGGGAGACTCTGGGGCTGGGCACTCCAGGGACACTCTGCGGTTGGGCACTCCAGGGAGACACTGGGGTGGGCACTCCAGAGAAGGTTTTAGAGTAAAGGGCACACTACATACTACACCCTCAACAGACACAGACTAAACGGGCTAGCAACCAACAGCGGCTGAACTGGCACAGGTATTTGCAGGGGTACAGCACGGGCACACAAAGACCCGAAAGTGAGGGACCCTGTGACCTCTGAGCCCTCGATCTCGGAGCTTCGAGCCCTTAACCCCCCCAAAGTCCTTTCAACCAAACCGCCCTAACCCAAAAGCCCCCCAAAATGAGACTGGACACTGAGCCCTCAACCCTGGAAACCCTGAAGCCCTCAAACCCTGAAACCTGAAGTCAAATCCTCAGATCCTGAAGCCCTAAACCCTGGAACAACTCTGAACCCTGAAACAGAAAACCCTGGAACAACCCTGAAACCCCGAACCCTGACACCTTCAACCCACACCTTGAAACCGCAAAAGCCCTGAAACCCTGAATCCTGAAACCCTAAACCCTAAACTTGAAAACCCTGAAACCCTAAACCCTAACCTTGAAAACCTAAACCCTGGAACCCTGAAACACGAAAACCCTGGAACAACCCTGAAACCCTGAACCCTCAAACCCTCAACCCTATCCTTGAAAACCCTGAAACCCTGAAACCCTAAACCGAACCCTAAACCCTCGACCCTACTGTGCCCTAAAGCCCTGAAACCTAAAACCCTGAAAACCGAACCTAGAAATGACATGCTCCCAGGAAGGTCACATACGGCTGACCGACTTCGGATTGTCCAAGGACTGCATGGTTCGAGACCGGGGGCCTCCTTTGAATTTGGTTGTTTAGTGTTTTGGGTTTGGGGTTTAAGGTGTAGGGTACCCTAAACACTAAACCCCCTAAACCCGGTTTAGGTTTAGGGTACCGGAACCCTAAACCCTCAACCCCAAACCAGGTTTTAGGGTTTAGGGTTCAGGGCCTTGGGGGATGCGCGCTTCGTCGCGTGCAGTTAGCCCCCCGAAGTTTCCCCGAAGCCCGAAGCTCCCCAAAACCCCTGGAGCTTTTCTGAACCACCCTAAACCCTAAACCCTAAACCCTAAACCCTAAACCCTAAACCCGAAGTTGCGAGATCGCTCCTTCGTTTTGGTTTTTGTTGCAGGGTGTTCGCCTTGGGAGGACAACCTGACCAACTCGGCGCTCTTCACGTCCTTCGCGACTTGGGCCGAACACGGGCTTCGGGGTCTTAGGGTTTAGGGTTTAGGGTTTAGGGCCAGTTTAGGGTTTAGGGTTAGGGTTTAGGGTTTAGGGTTTAGGGGCTCCGGGGCTCTAGGAGCTGCAGGGTTTTCAGGGTTTTCAGGACTTTTGTTGGGTTTTCAGGGTTTCAGGGTTTTTGGGTTGGGGAGTCTGCGGCTCATGGCTTTGGGGCTTCAAGGGGGATCGCGGGGCCTACTTGCGCGCGTTTGTCACAAGGACGCCGCGCGACGCAGAATGTAGAGTGCTAGCTGCCTCCTCTTGGTGACTCGGAGCTGCTGTATGTGTTGCGGGCGAGAGTCTTAGCACGTCATCACCCCAGCTTTCCACCAGCGGACCGGCTCTTTCATGGGACACTACCTTCGACCCCTAAGGTTGTACCTTTTTGTTAGCTGATCCTCTAAGGGAATGGAAGGCCCTCTGAGGGGTTGCATCCTTAGGGGTCCAAGTTTTGACTCCCTGGGCTCTTTTGGGGGTATTTCGCCACAGAGGATGAAGCAAAGCCCTAAACCCTAAACCCTAAACCCTAAACCCTAAACCCTAAACCCTAAACCCTAAACCCTAAACCCTAAACCCTAAACCCTAAACCCTAAACCCTAAACCCTAAACCTGAGGTGGGCACGGCCGGCTATCTCAGCCCGGAGATGGTGGCCCGGCAGGCCGCCTGCGGCCGAAGGAGGAGATTTTCGGATTGAGGGTTTAGGAGATGTTCGGATTAAGGGTTTAGGGTTTAGGGTTTAGGGTTTAGGGTGTAGGGTTCAAGGTTTAGGGTTCAGGGTTCAGGGTTTAGGATTGGGATGGTCCCCCTTGTACTCACAGTCCTTAATAGGGATTATAGCTCAGGGTATCAGAATCCGTATTCAGGACTGTTAGTATAACGGGGAACATCCCAAGTTGAAGAGTTAGGAGTTGAGGGCTATAGGCTTGGGTTGGTTTTTGCCTAGGGCCGTGAGGGCTTAGGGCTTTGGAGGTTTGGGATGTTGGTGCTTGTTTTCGACTTTAGGGGTTTAGGCGTTGAGGGTTCCGTGGTTGTTGGGTTGTAGGGTTTCAGGGTTTTTTGGTTGGGGGAGTTAAATCACCAGGAGAACTGCCGGAAGAGAATTGCGATTGTCTCAGCGGGCTTACAGGTTTTGGGGTTCATTGGGCTTTAGGGTGTTTAGCAGGGTCTGACAGGGTGCAGGGTTTAGGGTTTTGGGTTGACTCGGGAGCCTGAAGGAAGCGACTTCCGTAGTTCTGTGTTTAGGCTGGATGGATTTACGGCTTGCAGCGGTGCAACGAGTTTATAGCTGTGGTTTGGGTGTTCGGTTTGCAATGATGGGTTTATAAGGGGTTCAAAGAAGGTTCTGCATTTGGAGGTATGGGCTCATTTTCGCACCACTCCAAACAAGGCCCCCCCCCCCGGGTGCGATTTTGAGGTTTAGCTTTTTAGGAGTGCAAAGGATCTAATCTAATATAAATAAAACATGTATATGTACATGTGGCATATATATATATACATATTAGATATGTATATGTGGCATATCTTTTTATTGCGAGAAAGCTATACAGATCGATAGGACCCGAGAGGCCTCGAGTTCAGAGGCAGCTACCCGTCTGACACGAAGCTCAGATGGCGCTAAATCGCCCAAAGATAGGGTTTAGGGTTTAGGGTTTTAGGGCTTAGGGTTTAGGGTTTAGGGTTTAGGGTTTAGGGTTCAGGGCCCTCAATCCGAGACACTACAGAGCAACTCGACCACAGGGCCATGGACTGCCGCTGGACTACTACTGCCTCGGCTGCAGCGATGCTCAGCACTCCTTGGGCTTGCTCTAAGTTAGGGTTTAGGGTTTAGGGTTTAGGGTTTAGGGTTTAGGGTTTAGGCTTTAGGGTTTAGGGTTTAGGGTTTTGGGGTGTTCCCCTATACTACTTAGTAGCTGCGTGAGTACACTTTACACTTTTGGGGATACTATAATCCCCTCTAAAACTGAAAGTGTACACTTTTTAGAGGCTTATGAACTCAGCAACTCAGACTAACAGTCCTTAATAGGGGGGTACTATAATCCCTATTCAGGACTGTTAGTATACGGGGGAGCATCCCAAGTGATGAGTATATCTAAGAGTAGTTTCATGGGCCCTGATTATGGTCCCTGAACTTCTTTAAAGGGTTCTGAAGCATGGGCGCTTGGGTTGTATAGGATATATAAGGGGTATATAGGGGGTCCCCTTTGAAGGGCCCATGCCAAGAGACCATGAAACTACCCTAAGAACATAGGGCTAGGGCGGGGTCACAACAAGAGTGTTGCTCTTATTCCTCTCTTTGGGTGCTCCAGGTTTGTGTATTGACAACGAGTCAAAACCTAAGCGCGTATCTGTCAGATTCTTAGGCTTCTCCCGAAGCTGGACACAGAATATTTTTTGGCTGTAGTCTGTATACGAAACCGCCCCCCCCCCCCCCCCCCACCCCCCTCCCCCTGGCAAAAACAAATTAGACAAGCAGCCGACACTAAATCCTGAACCCCCTAAACTCCAAGCAGGGACTTCTGAGGGGCTGAGCGGGTCGGAGTTTGATTCGGGTTTGCGGTTTAGGGTTTGCCCTCCTGGCTACCTCAATGGGGGTGGGGTGGGGACGCCTCCTGAGCATCTTAAGAGTTCAGGTGTCGCATGATGAGCGCGGAACACTTTTGCTGCATCCCGTTGCGCATCCCAACAGCCTAGGTATAAACCCTAAAGCCCTGACACCCAAAGCTTAATCAAGTTTCTCAATCCCTAGCTTTAAATCCCAAGCCCTAAACTCCAAGCCCGCACCCCCAAACTCCTCAAACACCGAAACCTTAAACTCCCAAACCCCATACTGTGAAACCCTAAACTTTGCCCTAAACCCTAAACCCCATTCCTTATCCCTAAACCCTAAACCTCTACCTCCAATAAGGCCTCAAGGTTAGGATGCCAACAGCCCCCGCCTCTTGAGGCCTGCTCTACTGCCTCCTCACCGGCTCGCTCCCGCACTACGAGGGCGACTACAAGGCACCCCCTCCCCCCCCCCCCCCAGAGCAGGAATTGGGGTTTCCTTTAGGGTTTAGGGTTCAGGGTTCAGGGTTTAGGGTTTAGGGTTTAGGGTTTAGGGTTGTTTAGGGATTAGGATTCTGGGTTTGGGGTTTGCCCGCTGCGATTGCGGGGGCCGGGCCCCAACAACTGTCAGCTTCTAGGACGCTGCGGCTTGCCTTATCAGTTCATAGGTCCCCAGCATGCCCCCCTTAATCAAGGAGTGTTCCCTAAGTCGAAATGAAAAGTATCATTTCGGGATGTTCCTAAGGTAACTCCATGCCTCCAACTTCGCTTGGTCTTTGAATGGTCTAACTGTTAGTGTCTTAGACTCTGATAGTAGTTTCGGGTGTAGTTTAGGGTGTGTAAATGAACCGGTGCTGCTTAGGGGGGGGTCCATGTCTGCTCCCACAGCCCAGAACTTCGCAAAACCCTTGGCTAAGGACTATCTTCTATATTGTGTCCTTGTTATAATGTAAGAAGAGCTCCAGAAATCCAAGATTTGTGGAAATTCTGGGTATAGAGGTATGTATACATATGTATGTATGTATGTATGTATGTATGTATGTATGTATGATGGGGTTATTGTAGGGATCCCTTGCCCAAGTCCCCCTTACAGGACGAGCAGCCCGACACACCAAGAAGTGCGTCAAGTACCCCTACTGTGCTCAGCCAATGCTCGAGCTTTGACCCAGTTTGAAATGTTGGGTGCCCTTCCTCTGCAGGAACTATGAAGCTACACACCTACACACTAGACCCCAAGCCCTAAGTCTTAAGCCCTGAGCCCATCTAAACCCTATAAGTGTCTACCCTGAACTCTTACACCCTGAATCCCAAACCCTAAACCCAATGCCCTAAACCTATTGGAGCCACCATCATCTTTGTTAAGCCCGAATCCCGAGGCCATGATCCAGAAGCGTGTGAAAGGCGAGCCAGTTCAGTTTCCGCCCGGGGACCCGGTGCATGGCTACACTGTCAGGGTTGACGATTTTGGGTTTAGGGGTTTATGTGTTGGGTTTGGGTGTTGGATTTTGGGTCTGGGGTCTAACAGGTCTTCAGTTTGCTTAGCAGAAAGCTTGGCGCTTGCTTAGCTCTCCAGAACACGAAAATTCCTGAGGCCCAGGTAGGGTTTGGGGTTTTGGGTTTAGGATTGTTTAGGGTTTGGGGTTTAGGGTTGTTTAAGGTTTAGGGTTTGGGGTTCAGGGTTTAGGGTTTAGGATGAGACATGGGGGTGTGGAACTGCCCCGGCGGCAACATGGGCCATGGGCTTGTGGCAAGGCATAGAGGAGACGAGTGCGACAGGCGGAGTTCAGCCGGAACTGCGGCCCTGGAACCCTAAACCCTAAAACCTAAACCCTAAACCCTAAACCCTCCCCAACATCTGAAACAGATCTCCACAGAGGGACCTTGTAGGAATGTTCATATCAACGTAGGGCACATGGTTTAGGTTTCAAGGGTTTATGATGTATATATGCGTTTTCAAGAGCATTCGGGACCTTACAGGTAGACTTACACCTAGATTCGGCCATTGGTTTCTGTTGCGCTTAGAACCCCAAGACCCTACAACCCCAAGCCTAGCAAAGCCTCTCAACCCCTGCACTCCAGGATCATATGGTTCAGGTTTGAGGGATTAGGGCGTAATTAGGCCCTGACAGCACTTGCTCCCTAAACCCCAAAGCTTGAACCCTAAACTCGTCGAGAAACATGCCCTGAAACTTCCTTCTGGTGGATGAGGAGATGGACTGGAACATGTGGGTGGAGGAAGCAATGGAGGAGGGCCTCGTGCTGGGTGAACTATGTCGACTTCGGGGAGTTACTACAGGAATGGGAGACAAGGGCGAAACTACGTCGACGTCCGGAAGTACTACATCCACTGGGGGCTGAAGGGACCATGGTTATGTTTCATCGCTGGAGGACGACGACTTCCCACTTCACCTAGAGAATCCAGCTTACAAAATACCCTAAACCTAAACCCTCATCTGATGTAACATCCCTGTGACCTAAAGCAGCGTGGAACGCCCTTTGGAGCAAATTGAGGCCCTGGGTGAACACCAACGCGCAAACGCTGCTCTCAGGCGCCGCGCCTTGGGGGGTCAGGGTTGAGGGTTGAGGGTTTGTAGGTTTTTAGGGTATGTAGGGTTTAGAGGGTTTTTAGGGTTTTTAGGGTTTATAGAGTTTAGGATTTAGGGTTTCGCTGGGGTTCAGGGTTTAGGGCTACTAGGGCTTGCCAAAGCCTACATCCCCAAACCCAGAATCGAAGGTCTCCTCTCGGAACCAGGGGCCTTTATTTATACAAGGGTTTGGTTTCGCAGAAAGCTCTTTCAGGGAGCCCGAGGGCCGAAACCCAAATGGGTTTAGGGTCGAGGGTTTAGGGTTCAGGGCCTAAGCCGTAAGCCATAAGTTCCCCTTCAAAGCATCTGCCCTTGAGATTCATATCGAGATCAGCCATGGTAGCGCATCGCCTGCAGCCCTAACCCAAAGCGGGGGCGGGTTAGAGTTCGAGGGTGCCTTCGTGACTACATATACCGGTTGGCAAGTTTGGCCCTAAAGCCTGGGTGCCTAAACCCTAAACCCTAAACCCTAAACCCTGGGTGCATGTAGGGCGCAATATCTTTCCTCAGCAAACCTGATCTACCCAGTTTTGGCAGCTCTTGGAAGCATGACAGCATTGAGTTGCCAAGTCCCTGGCGGGTGGGAAGGGGCTGATACTCTTGTGTTTTCTATTATGTCTCTTGTTTTGTTTCTGTCTTTTGTTTTTGAAAAGGGGCGGTGTGGGGTGCAGGGTGTTGGGGTGTCGGGGGACATTGTAGTTGAGGGTTGAGGGTTCGTGGGTTGCCTTAGACTTTGAGGTGCGGTAGGGTTTAGGGTTTGAAGGGGAGTCGCCATGCAGCTGTCGCTCCTTAACCTTTGGGGTGTGGTTAACACTATGGGAAAAGGCCGAGTCTTCTTCCTTCCCTTGTCATTGGAGACACCGGCCCATGGGCCTGCAACGTTTGTATGCGAGGCTTGCTGGAGCCAGATCCGGTTCCCCGCCGCGTTTGGATACGCCGTGTTGAGCACTCTGGGCCCTGATGGAAGGCAACACCCTGAAAGCGCCCTAAATTCCCAAACCCTAGATTTCAACCCTGGATCCTAGGCGATCGCACCTTGAAGGCAATCAGAGCCCCAAACCGCAACCCCAAAAGCTAAAGACCTCGAGCTACCGCAGCGTCGTCTGTTCATGCACTCCCCAGCTCTCGCAACGTTGAGCATTCTGCCGCGCCGATGGGTCCACAAGGCTGACCTTCATCTAGGACGCCCCACAGCGGCCCTTTCTGAAGGCTCCGATGCTCCACCGGGTTTCCCTGCGCATCATCTCAGGAGCGATGCTTGCTCCGGTGCTGGCAGAGTTCATGGACCGGGAGCTGGTGGCCCCGGCGGGGTCATGTTGGAGGAACGGCAGCTGGCTTGACTGCTGCGCTGGGGGGCAAAAGTGCTGGGGGAATGTGAGGAGGCAGCGGATGTGCTGCAGCAGCTCCCCGGAGCTCCAGCCTATGTTGACGGACTTGGACAGATGCAGCAATGACTTTGCCCTGCGCCGCCTCTATCGGTACGTGTCGCACCAACAGATTGGCTTCCAAGAGGACTGTATATCTGTAGTGGTTTGCAAACCTACTGAAGCGGGCTGGAGAGCATCATGGAGTGGCCAGCCAGAGTGCTCGGCTGGGTCGTCAGCCAAATTGGTGCCGCCTCTGACAGATCATCTCTGCGACACGCTGGATCCACCACCAGCAGATGCGTGGTACGATAGGTTGGGCTTCGAACGAGTTCGCCACAGATACCGCTTCGGGACAGCCGCCAGGGATCAATGTGCAGTGCCAGCGTGGATGCTAGTCAAAGAAGAGACGCTGCGGTTGTACTCGCTGATCCAGTCAAAGTCGCGCGTAGCACGAGTGTTGATCAACATTGGAGCCGCAGATGGGGTGACCAGTGACCCTTTGGGTGGCATCCTTAGAACTTTTGCGAGTCCTGGCCCCTGGAAGGGCATCTATTTCGAGGCCGCCCAAGAGAATTGCCTTGCGCTACGAAAGCTCTTGGATGAGACTGGTGCCCGGATTCATGTGGAGTGTGGCTACACGACGCCGACTACGGTGGCCCAGACCATCTGCCAAGAGCTCCGACATCAGGAGATTCCAGGTATCACCGAGGTCTGCGACGGAGCGGCTACGCTTGGCATGAGCATGACCGACGATGTGCCAGCAGATGTGCGGGTGGAAGTGGATGCTATGAACGTTGACATCGATTCCTTCGACTGCGCGGTGCTGCGCGAAGCCCTTCGTCTGCTGAGTCCCAAGATGATTGTCGTGGAAATTTTCCCATATCCTCCTCCGATCGTGGTCGCTTCGGATTTCCATCCGTACCACCAAGAGACAGAGAGGAACATCTCAGGCGCTTGGGCAAAGCTCGGTGGCACGGCTCGCAAAGGTGCCTTCGTGCCTGGCTGTTCCCTGAGTGCCGCCATCGCCCTGCTCTGGCCCCACGGCCTCGGGCTCTACCGCCTCAGCGCACGGGACGCGCTCTTCGTGCGCGGCGACGTCGCGAGGGAGATCCTTGGGCCCACGTGGGTGCCGGCCGATGAGTTCCAGTGCTGGAGGAAGCTCTGCGCAGATCTGTCGTCAAAGGAGAACTTGATGAAGCTCACGTCCTTGGGAGTCTATGATTTCTTGATGCCCTTCGTGCATCAGCGCATCCGAGATGTTCTTCTAAATGGCTCCTACCCGATGCATCCGCTGTCCGTTGGAGTGGCCATGCCGCCCCCTGCGCACGATCTGCCCGATGTGAAGCGGTTTGGGAGCCAAGGTTGGAATGCAAAGAAGAAAAAGAAGAAGCTCTCGGGGTTTCGGGTTTAGGGTTATTTTCAACTCTTGCGGTCTTCGGGATTATGTGATTTAGGGCTTTAGGGGTTTGGGGGCTTCGGGTTCGGAGGTGGGTCTGTCATTCTCCGGCATGCCCCTAACCCCTATAATCCTGGAAGCCCTCACTTCCAAGCCCTTGAGCCCCCCCCCCCCTCCCCCCCAACGGCTCTCGGCCCATTATTAGACTACGGTTTCTTGTAGGCAGCGTGGGAAGTTGAGTTGTTTCAGCACAGAAGAAAGCACGGATGGGCCGTGGCTTTTGCGGCTGGGCATCTCGACTGCCTTGAACCCTTTAACCATTCAGCATGTCCTTTTTCTGACATTAGGGCGGGCTAAGAGTTAGCCATCTAAGCTAGGGGCCATGAGACTTGCTGGAGTGGTGCGGTGACGGTTTTTTCATGCTTACGATCGAGCACGCCATCCACATGGCTCAAAAAGCTTCTTGAGAGGGGTGTGATTGCCCCAAACGTTTAAACCCTAAACCCTGAATACACGAAGTAGCTGCAGCTCCCTAGAAGCAGCTAAGCCCCAAGCCTTAAACTAAACCCTAAACCTCATGACCCAGTGTAGCCTTTGCGGTTCCTGTAGCAAGGATTGCAGTTTGGGAGTTTGATGGGGGTCCTTTGTTTTGGGGCACGCCCATGGGGCACGCCCATCTCTGACCGCAAGCAACTTGCCCTAAATCCATGACAAAGATGGAACACGCCTTAAGCCCAGTGCACGGGAGCTCCTACAGTCAGCTTGAGCTGAGATTTGGGTCGAGGGTTCACGGGCAGACGCCGGCTGGATGTGGGCCCCGTTTTTCGCCGCAGCCTGAGTGACTGATACCCCGCAAACCCTACTTCATTGGGCTTTAGGGTGTTTAGGGTGGGTGGGTAGGGAGGCGAGGGTTAGGACCTGTGTGAGCCTTATTCAACAAGAGGGCACACTTCGTCAGTGGGCAGAGGAGCCAGTGAGTCGTGCCGGTTTCGGGTTTTATCGTTCTAGGGTTTAGGGCTTGCGTGTGCTTACTCCGGGACCCTACTCAGAGCTAAGCCCTAAACCTTGAACTGCACTTTCCCAATGTCATGTCTCTGGCAACTCTGTGACCATAATTGTCCGTAACTTTCTCTGAGGTGATTTTGTGCATTCTCATTATTCTCATTTGTCTTACTGGGAGCTGGGGTGCTTCTCTCGATCGTGGGAAGGCTCATGTAAGTTTTTTGGCATAGACGGCTGGGAATGCCAGAAGGATGAAGCCTGAGGCCTATATCAGCACTGAAATCCGTGAGCGCCAGCGCCACAAGGGCCCCAAGGCAGTCCGGGATACACCCCACACCCTAAACCCAAAAAGCCCTGTAACCCTAAACCCTGTAGGGGCACCCGTTCTGTTCCTGGGGTTACTCCTGGGTCTAGCCCTAAACCCCAAACCCTAAACCCCAAACCCCAAACCCTAAACCCTAAACCCCCTACCGCGTTACTCCTGGGTCTCGGTCCGGAAGTGCAAGGATCTGCCGCGGGACTTCGGCTGCGAGCGATCGAGCCCGGGAGCTCGGTGGTGAAGGAGCTCTCAGGGTTTTGGGCTTTGGGGGTGGTTTGGGGTTTAGGGTTTAGGGTTTGGGGTTTAGGGTTTGTGGTTTCGGTTTCAGGGTTCAGGGTTTAGACGGGTCTAGACTAGAGTTTAGGGTTTTTTCTCGGGTTCTAGGGGTACCAGGAGGGATGGGGATGGGGGGTGGCGGGGGGCTGTTTGTGTGGTTGTAGAGGGTCAGGTCTGGGAGCAACCTTCCTCCTAATCCTGATTGGCTGCACCAATATGCCAGGATCTGTCTTGCTACTTTTAGAGCATCCAAAGCCCTAAATCCTGAACTCTCCGACCCGAACCCTACACCTTAAACCCCAAACCTTGAACCCTAAACCTAAAACCCTAAAACCCTAAACCCTAAACCCTAACCCAAGGTCCCTAAAACTTTCGGTTCCCTAACGAACCACCCCCCCCCCTCCCCCCAAAACGCAGAAAGGGGTTCAGGGCCTGTATAGGGTTTCGGAGGTTTCGGGGTTCAGGATCTATGTAGGGTTTAGGGCATTTAGGCGGTTTAGGGCGCGATCCCCAAACCCATCAGGTGCTTCAACGGCAGCGCCGGCGCAGCCCGCAGATGAGGAGGTCTGGGGAGTGGGAGACACTGAAAACCCCATACTCCCCTAAACCCTCAACCCTAAACCCCGAACCCTAAACCCTAAACACCCGAAACCCTAAACTCCCTGAACCTGGGAGTCGCGTGAACTCGTGGAGGCACCGCCATCCGCAGCCGACACCCAGCAGGGCACCGAGCGCATGCAGCTCTTTCGGGAGAGGCGGTTTTGGCTTTTTTAGGGTTTAGGGTTTAGGGTTTAGGGTTTAGGTTTTGGGGTTTGGGGTTTAGGGAGCCCAAACCTTACAGAGACGATTCTTTGACTTCAGTGATGGGGGGGGCACCCTTTTGGCACCCTAAACTACAAGGAAGATCCCCCCCGCCCTAAGCCTAAACCCTTTAGGCCTTCAGGTTTTTTTTTTTGTTGGGGGGGGGGGGGGGGGGGGGGGTTTAGGGTCTTAGGGTTAACTACATGACCCACCCGCCCCCGAGCAACAAATACTCCCATTAACGTGCACGCGGAATCATACGATGTAGGGGGGAGGGGGCTAAGGATCTAACTGAGCAGATGATCCAGGTTAACCTGGTGTTCTTATTTGGAATTCTGGGTTGTTGGGGGGGCAGTCAGTTCAAACTATTATGAACTAAATGCAGATGTATGTACATACAATTACTATTATGTATATACATGTATACATGCTTATTGCTATTGAATTTATTCAGCTTACCTGGCACGCAGGCATGCTCAAGAGAGCCACGCTTTCGTTCGGCTTGTGGGCAGCTTCAGCGTAGGTCTTTGGAGGTGGAGCCAAGTTGGTTTATAGCCCCCTGCTACAATACCCTAAACCCTAAACCCTAACTCATCGTACTTCCGCATGCAAGCAGGTGTTTACAGCTTCATGTTCCGGAGGTTGTGCCTTCAGGTGCCCGTGTTGTTTCTCTAGGTTTGGAGGTTTCCGGTCGTCGCATGGCCCCTGAGGGCCCAGAAGGAGTGGAGCTGCCTGCTTGGGGGCTCCATCCTCGGGACCTCCCTGCCCAGCCGTCGGCGCTGCGCTCAGAGGGACGGCGGAGGACCACCCTGGCCCAGATCAGCCGGGTGCTGGATGAGCAAAGCAAGCCAGACGAGCAACGGCTTGCGAAGCTGGCGGTACTTCTCTACACGCTGACGCGCGTGGTAGCCAACCTGTATGTGCTTTCTTTCAAGCCGACCTTGGCATCGTCCTTCCTGCGTGCTGGATTGGCTGCGCCCTCTCGTTCTCTGAGCACTTGGAAGCTGGACAGCGTTCTGAGGCCTGTGGTGACTGGCCTTGGGCTCTACATCTACCTGCACAGGAAGGCTCGTCTTTCGGAGAACTCTTCACTCCACAGCTGGAGTGCTCGGCTGCTCTTCTGCCTCGCTTCCTTCCACTGCGATGTCTGGCTCCTTTCCTTGCTGCCTCTCCCCACACTTTCGAAGGAGGTGCCCTTCACTCGTCTCTATCATCTCGAGACTTTCGTAGTGCTCTGGGAGGTCTTTTGCAATGTGGCGCAGATGCACATGTCGAACCTGAAGTTAAGAGCCCTAGGCTGGCATCTCACTGCCCAGCGCTGCCAGACGCTTCTGGCCATCTCCTCCGTCCTCGTCGTCGCCCTTGTGGCCTTCGACTATTGGCTGACTGCCATCATGTCCAATTATTTGCTGCACCTCCCCGATGATGGGGCCTGGGTCATGTACCTCAAGTACAACTGGTGGATTGCTTTGTCTTTCGTTCTGGCAGCTGTCCTCGCGCAGTTCTGGGGTTTCACCTCCGCTGCTACTACGGCCTTTTTATTGCCTGCACCTGAAACAAACCTGAGGCCTACGGCTTACTGCCTGTGCGCCGATGGCATTCTACTGCTGCTGAGACCTCTCGTGAGTTGCTATGCAGTCGAGAATGTGTTCGTGGACGTTAGAGCCGTCACCGCCGACTGCGGGTTTCAAGTTCTGAACGTGCTGCTGCTGTCCGGACTGGTCGGCCCTCAGCAACTTGCGCTGTCGATGGAGTCCTTCCGAAAGCTGGCAGATCTATCGGGCTTCGGCTTGGCCGCCAAGCGCATTGCCTTTCCCGGGCATGTGAACCCACGGGCTATCGACTGTATCGTGTCCTTCCCTGGCAAGTACAGTACACTGTGGGACGACGCAGTTTCCATTGCAACGTCACAAGACACTTGCTCACTCGCCTGCGTCTTCCTGACGGACAGCATCTCCGGTTTGGGCCAGCATTCGGAGAACCCAGATTCGCCGGGGCTGTGCTGGTGCCATGCCATATACGGGCATCTTCCGGCAGACACCTACCTCAGTGTGGTCGAGCTGCCGGAGAAGGAGCACGACACCCCCGCCAGTCAGCAGGCGCGGCAGCAGCTCTTGGCCTTCAAGCGCGCCGATGCGGAAGCAATGGGACAGGTGCTGGTGATCCGGCGCGACCAAGGCGAGCTGCACTGGCGCAAGGAGCTCTCAGAAGCCTTGCGTCTGGCCGAAGCACGCAGCCTCCAGCAGCAAGGCCGAGCCCCCTGGGGCTGCAGGTGGTTTGAGGAGTGGCGGAAGAACGTCCACAAGGCAGTGGACCTCGGGCAGACCCTGCACGTCTTCTACTTCGAGGGGCGGCGAGGGCAAGGCAAGATCGCTTGGGAACAGCTGTGTAATGATCAAGTCAAGGAAAGAGTGCGGCCGAACAGTGGTCTAGGGGCATCGCAGACCGCCGAAGTGGCATACCTGGAGATGATGGGCCTGAGCTACGAGGAGCACGACATCAAAGACTTCAAGGAAGTCGTCGCTGCCGGAAAGACGCGCGCTGGTTGGGGTTCAGGCTTCCCTCAGCCCAGAGACCGTCCTCAGCGTTTTCATTACTTATTATAACAACCCTAATC